ATTTGGTCAACAATGGCTGCGAGGCCGCTCTTGTTCAACATCCAGACCAATGCCTCGGTCGTGGCCTGGGCCGCGGAAACGAAACGCGCCGCGCTTCAGAAGTTCCCCGCGAATTTAAAACCCTGGGGATGAAATCCCCCTCCCCCGCCACAATCAGGTTGCACCAGCGTCCGGGTCTACGGCGCTGGTCGCGGGGCCCATGCAAATCTGCGCCCAGAAGAACGCTGCCCACTTCGGGCGCAGCGGCCCCCCTCAGGCCAGCCGCTCCCCCGACGCCAGCGTTTCAACGCGCGCTGGCGACCCCTATCCGCCCCCGCGCGATATTCCCAGATGCGCCAATGCAGCGCCGAGACGCACCGACGCGACTCCGATATATCACAGCATGATAAAGAAGGGTTTGGCGGCAAGGGGCGAAACCCTTGCGGATGATTGCAGACGTGGCGCTTTCATCTCCAGCCACCGACCGTCGCGTGGCGCAATTGGGATCCGCGCGACCTTTCCATGGAAGACGCCCAACAACGAATGCGGCAACGTAGCACACCGATAAACGACCCTGCCGTTAGTGGCAGCGCCGGGATGTTGGAGGTCCGAACGCACGATAGGCGGCGACAGGATTGGGTCCAGGACTGAATCTCGCGCCTGGTGCGCATGTCGAATGCAAGAGACATGGCAGCTGGCGGAGATTCAGCTGCAACGCCCGCCGCTGGAGTGGAGGCTGCTTTTTCCCGCGTCGCATTAGAAGACTTTATTATCATGCTTAATAGCTGGAGGCAGCAATGCGCGAGCTTCGGATACAATGTGCGGGGGCAGGGCGGGCGCAACAATCTAACGCCTTTCGGCGCGCGCCCGAACTAATCGCGCCGTTGGTCAGGGCATGTCCACATGCAGCTCGCGCGCGCCAGGCCATCCGGTCTCGATTCCAGACTTCATTCGCGCGGGTGCGATCAATGGCAATGCATGCCAAGTGCGTTGAATCCTACTGCGCGGTCTCCACGCGGCAGGATGGCGCTGCTCGCGCGAGGATTGCCGATATTCGTGGGGCAGTGTGGCGGCGCTCCATTGGTCAACAAGGGCTGCGAGACCGCTCCGGATCAATATCGCGATCAATGCCTCGGTCGCGGCCCGGGCAATGGAAACGAAGCGCGCCGCGCTTCGGCAGCCCCCCGCGAACTTAAAGCACCGAGGGTGAGATCTCCCCGCCCGCCATAATCAGATCGAGCACGCGTCCGTCTCTACGGCGGCGGTCGCGGAGCCGGTGCAAATCTGCGCCCGGTGCAAATCTGCGCCCGGGCGGGCTCGGCCCGCCGGGGGCGCCCCGGGCAAGCGAAAACGAACGGCCGACAGACTGGTTTCGCGACTCCAGGGGCCGGCGGCCGCGCGCGAGAAACCGGCCCTCGAGGTGCCCGGCGGGAGGGGGGGGGGGGCGGGGGGGGGGGGGGGACATCAGCATGCGAGTTCCTAATCTCTCCCCCTGCGACGACCAGAGGGGGGCCTTATGTTCGCGGCGCTCTTGAGCCGGATGCCTCAAGCTGCGCGCGATCTCGCGCGCTTGGTCGCCCCCGCGAAAAGCGACTTGCATCTCCGACCAAATGGGTGGGCTCCGGGACGGGCCTTTGGACTCCAGGGCCGCCGCGGGGCTGAATTGGCAAGCGAAAGACTTACCGCTATCTCCCCGAGAGATCTCTCAACGATTCCTCGCGCGCGCGGCTATCTCGACCATCGCGCGCGCGTGGCGCGGCTGGCGGTGCTCCTCCGCCCCCCACTCCCACAGGTGATAAGGCCGTCCCCCGCGTTCCCGCCGCGGCCCCTCGCCCGCCGCGCGCGCGTCGGAAAAAAAGATCTCGGCTCGCTTCCGCGCGAGCAGCGGGCGGGCCCAGCTCGGCCTTGAAGACCTCCGGCAAGGGTCCAGCGCGTCGGTCGAGCCGGCGATGGGCGGCGCCAGCCTGCCGTCGGGGAGCATCGGGGCATCGGCTTCCCTCTGGCCCCGCAGCCGCGGGAGCGCCTCGACCGCTGCCGAGAATTCCCTCGCGTTTGCCGCGAGGGCCGCGGCGCCCGCGCAGCGGCGGTCAGACTTGGTCGCCGCCGCAGACCTGCGTGCTTCCAGGAGCTGCTCATCCGGATCATGCGGCGCGGCGCTGCGGAGGGGCGAGAGGCCCCATCCGGCGCCGGCAGCCTGACGCCGTCCTCGATTGCGACCCCTCAGTGTGGAGATGCCCGTCGCGGCAGCGAAGGCCCCCATCGGCCCGGGCGTCGGCCGTGCTCGGGGAGCGCGGGAACTGGGGGGCCGCGCAGATCATCTCGCCGCACCTGCGGCGGCCCTCGTCTGCCGGGCCACTGGCTCCCGAGAAGTGCGATCCAGCCGGCGCGCCTCAGATTCGCCCGAATCGATCGCCTCGGCGGTCGGGGCGGCCTGGCCCGCTTGGCACCTCGGCAGGAGTGGCGCGCGGTCGCTAGAGTCGGCGTCTGTGAATCTGGCCAGGGACGTGCAGGGCGGCAGCCAGGCGCGATGGCGCAGCGCGAAATCGATATGGCCTGGCTCATCTCGTTCGTCGAAGGAGCCGGCGGCCTGGCCACGCTGGTCTTTCGACGAGGTGTTCGCTGCAACTAATTCAAATTTTGTTATGCGGTCAGAAAGCATCTCCCCCCAATGTCATGTGGGTGGCTGAATAATGGCTGTCCGTCTCGCCGCCCTCTGACCCCGCGCCGCCTATTGCCCTGGTGCTGACAATCGCGCGGCACCCCCCTGGCATTGCGAAACACTTGAATGGCTGCCCAGTCGCGTCCGCGTACCCACCGCGAACAATGCGCGAGACAAGATGGCCGGGCGCGGGCCTGGAACGCCCCCGACCAGGAAGCTGCGAGCCCAGAAACATGGAATGATGGAAGGCGCGGGCGCGTCGCGCACAGATGTCGCGCGCCTCTTCCAAGCCCCCAGCAGGGGCGAAGTGCGTGCTATACTCCGTCACATGATTGTCTGGCACCATCAGCCGCGCAGTATTCTTGAAAACAAATGATGTGAAGTCCGAATTCGGTCGATAGACCGCCCAGGAGCTGCAGCCTTCTCCTCGCACGGGCGCCTCTCGCATTCTGCCCATGAGCTGCAAGGTCCTGGCGTCCTCGGTAAATCGGCAGCCCTTTACTTTCAATCGCTGCTGGCGCGGGGGGTCGCTGATCTCTGCCAGGCGGGATGGCAAGTTCATCTCCGCCGACCCCTGGGCGAGCAAAGCCTGCGCCGCCCCGTCGCGCGAGACTCCAGCGCCTCTCCGTTCCTGACGATTTGACGCACGCGCACTGGCAGTTCCTGGGCGTTTCTCCCGTGCGCGATCCGCCCTCCACCCCAGTCGCCGTCGAAGGTCATTATCTTCGTCGAGTCACTGCACAGGCCTGCAGTAACTCCGCGAACTCTCTCAATCTACGAACTGCGAGACTTACCCGACAACGGAGTTCGACTTCGTGCGGCCACTGATGAACCTTTGCCACAGCTGGTTGTTATGTGCCCCAGGGCAACCCCACGTCTCGTTATTGTTAACGAGAACGACTCTAGCCCGGTCTCAAAAACTCCAGACGCCGCACATGTCCGTGATCCCCTGGGACTCGAGAGACTTGGTGGTGTGAGCTGGCTAGTGAATTGACGCGTGACCTCGTCCCTATCCCACGTCCCTGGACAATCTGCCACGGACACGAGGTGCTTCGTATTTCTGGACGGGCGTGCAGGCGGCGGCGTGGACTGGCCTGACGAATTCTGCAAATCATCGTTCCAAAAATCGAGCCCCCCCCAGGGTGCGCTCCTAACCCAGGTCGGCCCGAAGAGCTGGCGGCCGAAGGCCGGAGAGGGGGCTATCGACGCGGCCTCCACCTCCATCTGTCTCTGCTGGGCCTTGAGTTCCGCCTGGATCTTTGGTCGGCGCGTTGACAGAAACTTCCCTGGTATCGAACCTGGTGCCGACACTGTTCGGGATCCGATGTACTCTGATGAAGAATGTTGAGCTGAATCTGTCGGGGCAGGCTCCGCAGGGGCAGGCGGTCGTCGAGCGCGCCCCCCTCGAGCTCGCAAGTTGGCCTCTCCCTCCTAATCTGTCTCATCCAGGAACACGCCAGCATCGCCAGCCTCATCCCCAAGGCAAAATCGCACTGCATGTTGGTTGCCGTAAACAAGTGCGGCAGACGCGACACTGGGGGCCGCCATCACTACTGCAAAATGCGCGCGGAAGTGGCCTGAAACCCGGGCGGGGCTAGCTCAGACCATGCGGGCAACCTGGCAGGCTCGATCCTGCGCGGGCGAAACCTTGCCCTCCGCTCGGGTCAATTGGGCTGCCTTGAACCAACATTGCTCTCTCCACCGACAAGACCTACACAGAACAGCAGCCGACCATTCGAAACCCATGGCCTCCTCCTTATGATGATCCTCATCCTAGCCCCTCACGCCTCCCGCGCCAATGATCGGTCCACGATGAAAACCGACGGCGACCCGGGGATGCACAGATAGGTAAATGGATAACCCGCCACCAGCCAAACCAAGCCGAGGGTGCGACGGCAAATGCTTTTCAAACAGTTGACGAGCACAAGGTTTTTTACAGGTGGGATTCCCCCATGATCTGAATATGCAAAAAGCAAAAGCTCTGTGACAGTGCCAGGATTTCCACAGTGCATCTTCTTCAGCTTAGACTTGACCATCGAAAGACTCCATCTCCAATTCCTCCTCATGGTCCTCCATCTCTTCCCTCTCCTCCTCCTCCTCCTTTTCCTGCTGTTCCTCCTCATCCTCCTCCTCCTCCTGCTTCTCCTCCTCCACCTTGCTTCTCCTCGGGGCACCAGCGCAACCTATGACGTCGTGAGCGTTCCATCCCGTGGAAGTCGGCGGCGTGGCGCGAGCCTCTGGGATAAAGTCTTGTGCTTCTTCAACAGCTTGCAGCAGTCGACCACCAGGGCGTAGGCATCCCCCTTGGGAAGCAGGATCCCGCTGCGCTGCTGCTCGGCAAACTGCCTGAGCCACGTCTCGTTCAGGCAGCCTGGGCCGGTGTAGCGCACGCCGCTGTAGCCAGCGGGGACGGGAAAGCTCGCCGCCTTCGCCTTCTCCGCGTCGAGCTCGGCGTCCGAGAAGCCTCCGCCTCTAGGGTACCAGGCGCCGGCGATCTGTGGAGCCGGGGCGCTGGAGGCGCCCTCGCTGAAGGCGCACTCCTTAGAAGAAAAACTGCATAAACATGGATTCTGAGAGCTCCGCACGGATTTCTCGGACCAGCGCTGTAATTACCCGCCTCCATGGTGCGCGGAGCGTGCCAGAGGCGGCGCCTGAAGCGCCGCCGGGGGCGGCCAGTGCAGAACCCGACGATGTATCGGCGATGCGGCGCGATCCTCCGACCCCATCTACTCTGACTCTCTTCCAAGCCACTCCAATCTAACCCGAAGACCCCGATCTCGGGTTGGGGGTGGGCGGAGTGTACGGGTACCACATGTGTTTTCGATACTCCCCGACGTCCCCCCCTTTTGGAAATGGAAAGCAAATTGGGGCCTTCGGGTTGTGTTGGGGTGGGTGGGAGGAGGAGGAGGAGGAGGAGGAGGATGAGGAGAACCAGGAGGACGAGGAGGGGGAGGAGGAGGACGAGGGGCCGATATTTCTTCGACTCCTGGAACGTCACCGTGGCCGGCAGCGCCACCGCCTGGTGGTTGCGGGGGCGCGCCTCCCAAGCGGCTTTCGCCTCCTGCGTGCAGTTGGCGTCGCCCTCCGTGTCCTCGAGCATGTCCATGATGTCGGAAAAGTCCCAGCCTTAGCTGGCCCGATACGCAACATGCGACACGCGCATTGATACAGAACTCAACACGTAGACTGAACACACAGGCCTGACGCGATACATCCGCCAGAACGTAGGCCAATACGCTGAATCAACACGCAACGTATTGACACGGACGTTTTCAGCACGGTATGAGTTGCGTATCGAAACGGGCGTGTCGAGGCAGCTAAGGTCCCAGCCAGCCACGTCGGTGCCGTTGATAGACTTCACGATCATGTTCTTCTTGACGCCGCCCACCGCGCACTGGCCGCGAGGGTCGCCAGGATAGCGGGCCTTCTCGGTCATCTCCACGACCATGGCGCCCTTGCCGCCCTCGCCGTGGGTATAGCGCGAGATCCCCATCGGGCGCTTCTTGAGCTCGACTGTCACGGAGGCGCCAGACGCCTCCCCGGGATTGAACTCTGGGTCCTCCTTGATCCAACCGTGGCCGTCCCGGCGCTCGCGGGCCTTCAGGTACCCGCCGGACGCCGCCTGGCGGACCACCTCGGAGCAGAGCAAGCTGAGACAACGGCAGCTCAGGATCGGTCCCCGGACCTCCTGGGGTCCAAGCGCACAAGTTTTCCGAGCTGCGCCAAGCCGTGGCAACGAGACTGAGCCCCGAAGACCAACTACCGTTGTTTCAAGTCGCCCTCCTCTGCTAAGTGCGGCGACGAAACCTCGAACCCGCGAATCCGCGTTGCGAAAATATTGCAACATCGCGAGAAAAAAAAACACGACAGGAGCCCTAGACCCTATCTTCCTGCTACATTTTCCCAGCCGCATCGATCTGGGATCGCCCTCGGGCCCGAAACCTGTCGAAAACGCCCGATGCACGAAAACGCCCGAAACCTGTCGAAAGGCTCGGGGCCCCTCGAAGACCAACTACCGTCGGCTCAGCTCGCCCTCCGCTCACCGCCTGCTGCGCCCGCTGCCGTGAGCGGCCCTGGCCCTGGCGCCGCCTGCCCGCGAGCGCGTGCCCCGCCAGCGCCGAGCCGACCACGGCCAGGGCGCCGAGGAGCGGGGCGGCCTCGGCGGCGTCGCCCTCCGCGGGCAGGTCGCCGCGGCTGGATCCCCGCACGTGCCCCGCCCTGCCCTGGGCGGCAGCAGGGCGCTGCCCCACGGGCGCGGGCGTGAAAATCGGCTGCGCGCAGGAGCGACCCCTGGCCATCGCGCGGACGTCCATTTCCTGTGTTTCCTTCGGTTTCGTGCGTGGTTTTTTTTTGCCAAATGATCAAGGATGCTCCTCGATGGCCCTCGCCGAAGGAAAAATGCACACGTCCGAGCGATGCCGAGGGCCCTGGGCAAGAGAGGGCCTCTGGTGCGCGAGCGGCGATGGGGCCGCGGGGACGCCGGTCCCGAGCGCGCAGGCCGCTGCTGCCGCATCGCGCTCGGCCCTCCGGGGGAGCCTGGCGTGCACGCGCCGGGAGGTGCCGCTGGCAGAAGGTCGCCCTTGCGCGCAGCCGAGAAGAGGAGCTGCAGGCCCTGCGAGGGCGTCACCGCCATGGTGGCACGGCGGGCTGGCGCTCCCCGCGCGCCCCTGTCGGGGAGGGGGGGGCCGTGCAGTTTGCTTGCGTGCTATGCCAAAACGGCTGTTCCAAGGGGACCGAGGGGGGGACAGGGTCAGCCCAACCACGTGAGGGTGCTGCTGCAATGCGCCAGACCGTCCCAAGTCATTTCGCGACAAATTTGTACCTATACCTATTGATCCACTGGCCCCTGGGGGATAACGGCTGCAAGCCTGGCTCAAAGGCGAGAATGCTAGGAAAACCGAAAGGCCCCAAGGGGTCGGCGGTGTACCGTAAGCCTTAGGATCCACGTCCGGACTGCAGCGAAGCGTCTCGGCAGTCCGACAGGACGGGTGTGTGACGCAAGGGCCCAGCCACCATGCGTCAAGGAAGGCCCATTGCCAAGCCCTATGGAAAATACTTGATGTTGGCCTTGTGGGCCCCCTTGGAATCCACAGGGCAATCCCGACGGCTCAAGATGGCTTCAAGACGAGCCACGACGGCCTCAGGATGGCCCAAGATGGCCCCAAGAGGGCCCCAGAGGCCAAAAAGAGGGACCCCAAAAGATCCCCAAGAGCGCCCCCAGAGGCCAAAAACAATGATTTCCTATAGGTTTTTGAATGATTTAGGCGTTGTCGCAGTTTCGCAGTTTGGGCCGCCCATACCAGCCCAAGCAGCCTCCGAAATACCCCCCTTGCGGCCCAAGGGGACCTCCAGATAGCCCTAGAGGGCCCCAAGATTGCCCAGAAGAGGCCCCCAAATGGTCCAAGAAGCCCTCAAGACGGCCCAAGAGGACCCCAAGAGAGCACCGTGGCACCAAGAAGCCTCCAGGACAGCGCCCGCAGGGTCCAGACGGCGCAAAATCGCTTCAATACGGTCCAAGACGCGTCAAAAGCCCCTAAAGAGGCCCCTCAAAGGCCCCAAGAGGCCCCCGAAAGAAGCTTTCAATAAGCCCCCAAGATGCCCCGTCGATGCGTGGAACTTTGACACACGTGCAAAAACGCAGAACGACACCCAAGATGGCCCACAAAATGCCGGAGGACGGCCCACGGAGGCCTCGAGGCGCCTGTCGAGGCCATACGAGGAAACATTACAAACACATGAAACAATCAAGGAACTCTCTGATGTTGGTTTCTTCGGCCTCCTAATGGTCCAAGAGGGCCTCAATAATGCTCAAGATGCTTCAAGACGGCCCGACGGCGCAAGGGGCCCCAAGACGGCCCAAGACGCCCCGAGAGGCCCCCACGAGGCCCCTAGGAGGCCCCCTAGAGGCTCCCAAGAGGCCCCCGTGAGGTCTCAGAACGACTGGGCTGTACGTGGTCTGGACGTGCACCCAACGAAGCGAGAATAATCATTTCGTGACAAGCTTGTACCAATGATGCCTTTCAGTACCGCTGGACTGGTGATCATACCAGGGACCGCCACAGCCCATGAGTTTAGATGAGGTCTTGCAGGGTCGAAATGGTGACAACCCGATGGCCCTGCCACGGGTTGTACTTCAGGGCACCGGGAGCAGTGCCAGAACCTGGCCTCAGAACCACAAGCTATGATGCAGTCTCAAGCGAGAGCAGGAATAAGAAAACGGACAGCCCTCCATCAGAGTGGCTCTTGGAGATGTTAAGCAGGGAGGAGGCAGGAGGGAGAAGAAGGGAGAGGAGGCAAGAGGCAAGAGGAGGAGGGAGGAGGGAGGGGGAGGAGACGAGGATAGAAGGCCTAAGAGGAAGAGCGAAACATTGGAGGAGGGCGGAGGGGGAGGTGTGAGGATCGGAAGGAGGACAGGGAGGAAGGGGAGGAACGAGGAAAAAGAGGTGGGGTCGTCATCCGTAAGAGATGTCTGGATCCAGAGATCGACGCTGAAAAGGTGGCGCCCTACGTCCGCACAGCCGCCAAACATCTCATGGTGGCCACCCCGCACCTCAGCGGTTGGCAACTTCGATCTTTGGGGACATCAGCCGTGGCGTATGACGCGAGAGACCCGTTTGGAAAACAGTCCTCCCTCCCTCTCCCTCCTCTCCCGCCCCTGTCGAGCCCCTCGTCCAAGACGGCAGGATCAGTCGACATCGAAGTGGGAATTCGGAGTCGAATCGGCATGTGCGTCGGACTGGGTTGCACCGCCACAGAGTCGAGATCTAATCGGCTCGGCCACGCCAGGGTACACGACAACGCCATGCGAACATCGGGCCGTCGGAGCATGTCGGAATCGAATCGGACCAGGCGGGCTGGAATCAAAATGAGACCAGATCGATCGGACCGAGGTGAGCAGAAAGGGCGGCGAGAGGCTCCGGGAAGTCGGACAGACGAGGGGTGCGGGGGAGGGGCAGGATGCAGGCGCGTGGGGAGGGGGACGCAGGGGCTATGTTGCTCCCATCGTACTTGAGGGCCATATTTTTGTTTGGGGGGGGGCTTGAAATTCCTTCTCGTGGTCATGGCTCAAGCAGGTTGGAACATCATAGCGCAGGCGTGGAGCAGGAGCAGGAAGGAGGGGGGCGGCGGCGGCGGCGGCAGGAGAAGGAGCGGGAGGCCTGCGGAGGTCTCCAGAGGTCGCGCCGAGGGCCCCCGCGGACCCCAGAAGCGCAACACGTGCGTGTTGAACACGCGTCCCAGACCTCCTCCCCTGGGGAAGCGCAGAGGTGCGCGCAGCGCGCGGCCAAGACCCCCTCCTGGGGAAGCGCACAAGGTGCGCGCAACACGCGTCCCAGGCCTCCTCTCCTGGGGAAACGCAAAAAAGGCGCGCAACACGCTGATCCGTGGGCCTCCCACTGGGGGGGGGGTCCGACCGGAACGCCGGGGAGAGCCCGTCCGCGGCGACGAGCGCCCTCCAGGTCGAGCAGCGGCACCAGCACCTTTTCCTCGTCTGACAGAACCTGCTCACGAGGAGGACGAAGAGGAAAGGAGTGAATACGGGATGACCAACAAGAAAAGGAAAAAAAAGGAAGCACACAATGAAGCGGGGATACTGTTTTTGCATTATGCCCGGTCACGGTCGTTGCCCAGCCCAGTGGGGTGGTGGCGGGGGGGGGGGCTTGGTAGCGGTAAATTTTGAGTGGGGTGGGGCGCGTCGGGCGGGGGTGCGCTGCGATCGCCGCAGCCTGCGCGCGAGCACCAGCATGTAGGGGGATGGGTCCAGGCCCCCCCCCACACACGTACGATCGTTACATCGTTACAGTTACCCTGGAGAGGGGAGAGGCTTGGCCGTCACTTGGCCCAGGTAGCGACCATTACGTGCGAGAGGATGGGAGAAGCACAATCTCGAAGGCTCTCCAACTGCTCCCTGGACATCTCCAGGGGTGCGCTCTGACCAGAACCTCTGAGGAGAACACCGCCGTGGCGACGAGGGCCCTCCAGGACGAGCAGCGGGATCAGCAGAGACTCTTCTCCCCAAATAGACTTGCCTGAGGGGTTCTTACTTGGTCAGTGGTTGGCGAGTCCTACTGTTACTTGGCCCATTGCCTGGAGGTTCCCCAGGTTCCCCGCCCCCGTGCCTCCTATTGTTACGCTGCCCGTTGCCCGGAGGTTCCCCGGGTTCCCGGGGTTCCTCGGGTTCCCCGGGTTCCCCGCCCCCGGTGCCTCATGCCAAGCAATGCCAAGCAATGCCAAGCACTGCCAAGCAAAGCCAAGCAACACCCAGCAATGCCAAGCACTGCGCCCATGCAACAGGAAACTTTCTCCTCATTGGGGTCGCGCCAGACGTATTACTCTTTCCAACAGTGGTCGTTACGCACCTGTGGGCAAACAAATATTCTGCTTCGAGCGAGCCCCACCGAAACCTTTAGCGCTTGTTCCCGACGGCGCGCGGTCGCATAATTGGTGGAACGCTGCGCGCGGGGCCCTGTGGTCTCGGCCAGTGCGGCGGTCGGGCCGGGTGGCGAATTCCGTTGTCCCCAAGCCCAACAATCCCAGAGCTCCTGACGAAAGAAATTGAAGGAACCCCCAGGGCGAACAAAAACTAAGCTTCGAAAACGTGTGGAGGTGAGGCGGACCTCTCCTCCCTACCTCTCCTCCTCCTCCTCCTCCTCCTCCTCCTCATCCTTCCACCACTGCACAACTGCCGCTTCTGGATTCAAAGAACGGCTCAACCGTGTTCCATGTAGTCATGTTCTTTTATGCTATGCTCTATTCCGTCCTGTTCTGTTCCCGACGGGCCTGCGTGACGTCGGGACGCCTGTGACGTTAGATGCGTAGTCTGTTATGCTGCTCCTCTTAATTAATATGTTCCTCTTCTGGTGGAGTCTGTTTCGTTGTGCTAAGCACTGTCAACATATGCTTTGAAATTTGATGGTATGATCTGCTCTGCGGCACTATGTTCTGGCACGATCTGCTATGTCAGGTTATGATATATTATGCTATGTTACGCGATGCTCTTGACAGCTCGGTTATGGATAACAATTTGTGTCATGTTATGATAATATGCTTATGTATACGTTGCTGTCGTGTTATGATATGTTATGTGATGCTACCATGATATGCTCTGATATGTGCTGTCATGGTGTGTTATGGTCTGCTCGGTTATGTTATGATATGCTGTGCTGTGTTTTAATATGTTATGGCATGCTCTGCTCTGGTATCTTATGTGATGCTCTGTTTGTGGACGGCTTGGTTCTGTATAGTGTAGTATGATATGCTCTGCTAGCGTGTGTCGCTATGCTCTGCTGTCGTGTTAGTCTGTGTTATGTGATGCTGTGTAATGAAATGACATGCTATGTCAAGGTGTGCTATGCTATGCTCGGTCTTGTTAGGTTATGCAGTGTTCTGCCGTCTTATGTCATGCCATGTTCTACTAGGGTGTGTAATGCCACGTGCTGTTATGCTCTACCTTGTTATGGCATTGCTATGTTCAGTTCTGTCATGTGTTGTCATGAGTGTGTTATGTTCTGCCATGGTATGTTGCCATGGTGTGTTCTGTCGTGTTCGTCGTAGCTATACTTTGCTGTCGTGTGATGATATGTTCTGCAATGCTGTGTCATGCTATGGCAAGTTATCTCAAGGTGTGATATGTTA